CTCCAGGCAGATTGGATTTTCAGGCCTGCTGATTCGCTGAGAGATTGAGCCTGGACCTCCTCCAAGCTCACACAGGCAAAACAATACCATTAAAATGCATCCACTTGACGTGTCCTTGTGCTGGAGGTGGCGAGTACGAGTCCCACACACTGTCAAAACACTGTCCATGTGCTATTCTAACCGACTGACCTGTTTTTACTCTATGAAGACGTCTATTTGCAAGTGTGGGGAAGTAGCAACATGCAAGTACAGAGAATAAGCGATCTCACTCATTTGAACTTGCTCAGGTACATTTTATTCTATTTGGTAGCATTCAAAGAAGAGTTTTGAAAAAAAATCAATTGTTTAACATTGTTGAATTTGCACTGCAGGTTCCATAAGGTAAAACATTTCACTTTGAGCAATTCAAAGTGAGTGTTTTATCCTCTATGGAATAACAAAACATGGAACTGGGCAAAGAGAGAGTCCTGTGATGCTTTTTGATATTATGCAAATTATGTTAAAGTATTCAGAATACAGAACTGGGATTGAACCATGTAATGGAATATGCTAAAATACGTGTTGAGTAATTTTAAAGTATAATCTGAGAGTGGAATGAACTATGAAGAAGTTGTGCCAGTGGTGGGTATTTGTATTCATGTATTTAAGGAGAAGAGTTATAGTGAGTAAGTAAGTAATGTTTCTTTATATAGTGGATTTTACAGACCGAGGTCATCCAAAGCGCTTTACAATGTTCAGAGTTCAAATATTGTTCCAATCTTTCCACACGCGGTGATGACGGAAGCGAGTCGCCGAACACACTGGCGCATCAGCCCCAATCAACACCATCCATTCACTCTCTCATTTATATTCATACCTATTGTGCATGTTTTTAGTAGTAGGGGAAACCGGAGCACCCGGAGGAAACCTACGAAGACACGGGGAGAACATGCAAACTCCACTCAGAAAGGCCCTGTTCCGACCGGGATTCGAACCCAGGACCTTCTTGCTGAGAAGCAAGAATGCTATCCACTCCGCCACCGTGCCGCGATTATAGAATGTTTAAAATTACATGTATGACAATTAAGAGTTCTATTGAGATTCACCATCTGCATTTCAGCCCCAGACAGAAGAAACCATGGTTTTAAAAGTAGGGTAAACCGGAGCACCTGGAGGTAACCTACTCAGAAAGGCTCCGTACAGATAGATGTGCATGGCTAGGGGGTAGATGAAACTTTGAGTATTTTAACGAAAAGAGGACACCACTCTAATAACAGTAAAAGCTCATAAATCTATTTTAAAAACCAATATTATTTTACAAAAAGCAACTCAGGAAGCTCTTTTCTTCCTATCATTGGCTCTGAAAGGGACACACCGATGCATTTTAGCGCACTAGAATATACAGCATTTTATACTTGCTCCTTATTATGTCAAAGTCTGGTTTTTTGTGCTTAAGTCTTCCTTCTTCATCATGCTAAAGTTGGACATTTTTAGACTTATTTTCTTCTTATGCTAAAGATAGAGATTTTCTAGTCCTTTTTATGCTAGCGAGTTAAGATTTTATTTTATTCTATTTTAGTATAGCTATTCTTGTCTTCATTCCTATTGTATAGCTTTATTTATTTTAATGCTACTTGATTTGTTCAGTACTTTGAGATGCCTTGTATCTGAATTGTGCTTTACAAATAAACTTGCCTTGCCTAAGTTGTGATGCAACACTGGCAATTTGAAAAAGGAATCTCTTAATCTCATTCTTAAAACATTCACAACAGTCCCATCATAAAGTCTTTTCCCCATGATGCATAGATGAAAGACTGAGGGTTATTGTTAAAAGCCTTCATAGACACACACAAACTTTCATATTTGCCGTTGTCATCGCAGTCTGCCCTGGCATCACTCCCCCCCTTTCAGACCCCGCGCCTCTCGAGCTGCACATGTGGAATTGATCTCCATTCGTAAAGAGGAGCTTCATTGTCGTGGAGACGCTGCTGTCACTTTGGCCACAGCTGGTCCTCTGGGGCAGTGCGGCCTCTCCAGTCTTTCACCTGCGACAATCACTGCTGTTTACCCATCGGCCTCCACAACAAAGCCCTTTGTACGCCTCTGTGTGTGTGTGTGCGTTTGTGGCACTTCGCTCCCGGCACAAAAGACGCACAAGAATGGTCTGATTTTTCCACTTACCATCTACTTAACTTTGGTTTAGCAAGATGTAATGTACTGAGCAGGCTGTCATTTGCTCAGAATGTGTGTCTGTGTGCCATTTTGCTGGGAATTTCAATACAAGTGATTTTCAGAGTAAAACGAGAATGCTGGTGTTTAGAAAAAGGATAATGCAGCAAATATGATCATTGTGGTTTAGATTTCAGTACGGAAGGCCAGAGAGGTGCCGTAAGAAAAGAAAACAGGAACAGTGACTGATCTGAGAAGCGAACCAATCAATATTATAAACACATTTATATTCTAATCTAAATGCAACTCCATTGATGTCACGCCAAATAAGTCCTACATTTTTCAAACAAGCAAAACACATATAAAATATTTTTGCCAGTCGCACAGTATGTTGCATCATATATTTAACTGGACTTATTTAAAGAATTACTAATTTGACTTTTAGATGAGACATACAAAGTGCCAAACACATAAGATAAGGAAGGATAAAGGAAAATGTTAGGGTAGGCATAACACATAAGACTTTAAAAGCCTGGACGAGAAAACTATGGATTCTAAAAAGGTTCATTTTGTCTTAGGTTAAAATGCTTTCTTGTGGTTTTTTTGAAAGACAAGTTAGAAGTATTACCTTTTAAACCGTGTTGGATGGATTGAATGAATACTTTATTTTGAGCCATACAAAATTATAACATTCTGCACCATACAGAAAGCACTGTACCCACTTACATAGGCAAATAGTGAAGAACAGAAAAAAACAAAGAATTTGGCTCAAAAAGGAGTGGGAAGAAGAAAAAGACTGATGTGTGAATGTTAACAAGGTAATAAATCCAACTTCTCTTTCACAAAAAGCAGAAAGCTCTAGACTTTCTCTCATGGAATAAACACGGCTGCCTTAGTGACCTACAGTATGACGTGGTGAGCCCCATAGACCCCTCTGTACAGTATCTATCTGGTCATGTGATGTTATGATTTTTTGCCTGAATCCTCGACAACAACAACAACAACAACCGGATTTGGTGGAATCTGCTTAACGTCCGTTCTTAGCTGCCACACACAGAGAGAGAGAGGGGGAAAAAAACACACAATTTAGGATTAACTGATCTCTCGGCTCTTGTACAAGCATGTCCATAATGATTACTGTAATAATGCTGATGACAACACATTTAAGACAAATTCTGCATCGTGAAATACAGCTTTGAAGAGCGACCAATCAGCGGCGTACATGACTATAGGAGGATTATATTCCAATGAGACTGTTGTTGTTGAATTCAGAAATATACAGGACATAGAGGGTTTCGCTGGATAAACAAGAGACGATTGGTATTGGTGTCGTTTTCTTACTATAACATTAAAAGTTGTTTAACTATTTGAATATTCCATGAAATAAGTGCATGAATCTTCATCTTCTAACCAAACATTCACTGGTTTTACCCTGGTAATATTTTGACATAACATTGACTGTCCTTAAACAGACTAAAAAGCCTTTCATTATCAGAGTATTAAAGCTGGGGTACCAAAGTATTATTTATTCAAACATAACACATTTTAACACTCAGTGAACGAAAAAGTAGATATAAAAATGTGAAACCCATGTAGAAGCAAACTTTAGCGAGCGAATGACTAGTTATATGGATTTGATTACATATTTTTTTTGCTTGAAAGTTAGGTACCCCAGCTTTAACCGTGGTCATAGGTGGATTGCAGCTTTGTCTGGAGTTTTTTTTCTTAGGTTTCCACCATTAAATGTGAGAGAAGTGAATGTCAACAATGGACCGAAGTGTTTTCAGACTTTTCTCCTTTGAAAGTTTTAGTGCGGGTCTCTGAAATCGCTCCTTCACAAAGGGCAGCCATTGGTCAGTGGAGTTGCTTGGTAAATCTAGGGTTGTGATTGGTCAGTTGAAGAGCCCCTGACCCTAAGCTGGACCAATCATGTTCTTTATTGACAACATTCAAACTTGTTCACAAAAGCAGGCAAATCCCCTTGAGTAGATTTTAACAATGCAGAGCCAAGTGAACAGGACAATAGGTGCAGACGTGTCCATCCTGCAGTATTTGTGGAATGCACATAATTACACATAACATCAGAGGGGAAAAAAACCCAACAATCTCCTCAATTTCAAATAAGCAAAAGAGCCTATAATTTATCATCTCAGCATTGACAGGGTTTTAACAGAATGCTTTGAATTCTCGGAAGAAAACTTTTTTCTTAAAAATAATAATAGTATTTGTCATCTGCCAAAATCAAAAGCTTTGTTTGTAGCTTCCAGATCCATTTCCCGTTCACGTTCACAAAAGGCAGCGAGAGACGGACGAGCTACAAAAGGTTTATTTCCATTTATAATTGAAGTGGTGGATTTGATCTGGAGAATGTGTTTTTCTCACCCGTAATCATCTTGATGGACAACATTCACTTGCATTATGGGTAATCCAGTTATAACGTATACATTTGATCCTATTGTGCTTGATAAATCACATGACATTTCTAAGCTTTTGGAAAACAGATTTATTCGTACTGGTTTTAGGATGATAAATGGATATATTACTGTTGATTGCGTGCTGCTAAACGACAAAGGGAGGATACAATATTACAGAATATATATAGGATATGAAATGAACTGAGGTAAAAACATGTACAAAAACAATAAATTATAAAAGTAACCATAATCATTGTTCAGGCATTGACTTATGGGCGATGGAGTTTCATGTATTTGGATCACATAGACAATAATGGTAGCTGCAAGGTCAAATCAATGTCTAATATTGTAGCTATTATTGCATTCTCTGATCTGCTGTGTACGTCGTGTATCATTGTATCTTCTAATAAGTCTAGAAGAAAATCTATACCTATATCATTAAATCTGCTTAATCATCTGTTTCGAATGTTTGTGAACAGCCTCCACAAAAGCGCCCACGTTTTCAGGGTCCATGTCCGGGTACAGGCCGTGACCCAGGTTGGCGATGTACCCTTTAGTGCCGAATCCCTCCAACATCTTCTGAACGATCTCTGAAATACGGTCCTGGGAGAAAGGTGATGTTGAAGAGTATTATCCAAAAATCCCAATAATATATATACACAATTATTTCTTGTTGATAAGAAGAGGAGTTGTGTGGCATTACCTTTGGAGCGTACAGAGCGCAGGGGTCCATGTTACCCTGGAGGCTGACCTTCCCCCCCGTGCGCTCCCTGGACACAAATAATGTAGTAACCATTTAACCAGTGGCTTAAGCATTTGATGAGCAGAAAAACAACACACGTTCACAGGGCGCAGTAATGGTTAACTGTGGTCCACGGTCAAACAAGCCTCGGTCAATACTCCTCATGCGATTTAGTGGAAAAGTTTACATTTTGATAATCGCTGCAGTTGCGTATGCCAGATATAACATTACAAATATACAATAGCACTGTATGGCATTTAATAAGTAAGTATTTCAAACTATTTTTCATACAGCATATCAAAAAGCAAACAAGACACAGAAGTTCAATTTAAATATCTAAATATACTGTGATATTAAAAAGGTCCAGGTGAGTGGTTGGCTTATTGCTTGGGTTCATCTGAATGTTGTTTTAAAAATGAATTTGTCTACAGTTCTTTCTTTTTTTACAGTGGGAACAAACTGGATGACATTACAAGCAAAGCAATAACATATCTATCGCAAAAAGCTGGTATCGGCTTACTTCCCGAAACGCGGATAACCACCAGGACAGGTGAGAAGCTTTAAACGTTTTTATTTATATAGTGTGAGTAGGATTTCTTTGACAGTAATGACAGAGCCCCTTTGTCTAACTGTGTTTGTAGAATAAATATAATATGGTATAGGAGTTGTGCTATACTAATATTCATTCATCTGCTGTGTGCGCCTCACCCCTACTGTTCTGTAACTTGCAACACTGAAATTTCACCAGGGTTGGACGAATATAGGATCTCTTAATCTTAATTTCATGTCAATAACGTGTTTGAGGATACTCAGATTGTCCTCAAAAAGCCAGTGTCTTGTTAAAGCAGCATTCTGTAACTTTGTATGTAAAAAACAGTTTAATATGTTGCGTGTTTGACGTTGTGATCCAGTGCCTGTACGAGTGGTCAGTACAAAGCATCTACTGTTGATCATGGTTGTGTCTACAGTGCTACAGGGCTCGCAAAGCAGAGCAAACTTTCCAAACATTGATTCTGAAGCCTCCTCAAAACCACTGTGATGGAAAGTTAAGGCGCCATACTGAGCACTCATACAGCTGCTGGGTCACTACAAAGTCAAATACGCAAAAATGTACCGTTTTTCCACATACAAAGTCACATAATGCCTCTTTAAAATATGACATTCCCAGCTACGACTGTAGTTTTGGTCACAATTGTCACACCATAGTAATTCCACACCGCCACATCCCTACCCCTAGGCCTCAGACAGTTGAGGAAGCTCTACTAAATCTTAACAACATTGCTGCACATGAAAATTGACCAAAATGATTCCAAACTTCAGAAAAAGCTCATTATTATGAAGTGCAGAAAGCCAGTGGGAGACATATGGTACATATTTTCAAAGCTAGAAGGTGTGACATTGCACGAGATGTTAATTAAATGCTCATGTTTTTGCATTTGCTTTGGAAAGGCTTGTGTTACCGGGCAGATCGTGGGTCGACGGTCCAGTCCAGTCCCACCACCTCATAGTGAGACTGGGACAGGTCCTCCAGCCCATAATGAGCGTCTTTAGCAAACACGATCTGAAACAAAGCAGACAGCTCAAATCAACGTCAACCAAAAGAGCACTGCTGCCCCCTAGAGGAGACAGAATTAACACACGTTTAATAAGCAGAGATAATGATGCCTCCAGAGAGGATACTGCTGTAGATCAAGGCACAGAAATAGAACGGATACAAACACTGCATTTGATTATTATAATAAGACTAACACAATAACAATGCACTGAATTTTAATTGTTCGCACGTACTCACCATGGGAACATCTCGGCCTGTCTCTTTGAGCCTCTCTTTGACTAGCTTGGCGATGTCTCGGAGGTAAGGAAGAGAGAATTCTTTGAACTCAGCTGGCCCCAGAATACCTGCGTGGGACTCAAACACCTGCAGAGCCTGAATGAGATGAATGCAAAAATCATTAGTTTTGCTTAATTTATTATGAAGATTTGACACACAAAAAAGTGTATAATATTTTAACATAAACTTGCATCTAATAAAGGTTTGTACATGACATAAATGTGGTATGTGGTGAGACTTTTATACTGTTTTTTTACATGGACAGTGTGCAATAATGATGATTTACACCTGTATTCCTTGAGCAGGCTGTAGTAAAACAGTCAAACTAAAGTGGATGAATATGGAGCATACATTAGCATACATTATCAGACAGAAGATACAAACTAATTTAACTTACAAGTTATAATAAAACTACCCAGCCCTCATTCTTCCCTTTCTCTCCATACGAACATTCATAATGAGCAAGAAGTAACCAAACCAAATACTAAGCAGTACAGCAAGTACTAAATAAACATATTATAGGATATTATTCAAATTAGAGTACAACAGACTTAATCAGAAACGCTGTGGCCCCATAACATTTTGAGTTGAAATATGGATAGCATTTCTGTGGTATAGAGTATTATTTATCGTGACAACACCAGACCCTATATAGATTTCACACTGTTTCTATGGTTGGCAATAAGCCCTGTCCCCACTATAGCAACTGTCACACACTCTATGCAATGTTAGGAAGGGATTTTGCCACTAACAAGAGTTTCCAATTAGTATAATCTCACATGGAATGAAAGAAAAAAAAAAAAAAAAAAACAGGGAGCTTGTTGCCACCCATAACAAACGTGCATCTTACCTGGGCCCCTGCAGCCACCTGTCCCAGCAGATACTCCACGATGACGTCCGTGAGCCTCCTCAGCAGGATGTGACTGGCCTCTGGGTGTCGGTACAACCAGCGCTTGGCCTTGGAGTGAGTGTTGGATCCACCGCCTTCAATCATGTAGGACATGAGAGTCCACTGTTGAAAAGGACAGGAAGAGAAGAGCGCATTACTATAAAGGCAAATTAACAAAACACAAGCATGATTTAGGAGAGCTGATTCATATCACATGAGCTCTCAGACAGTGATTATCATAAATGTTCTGAACAAAAATATGATCCCAACGCCTACATCAGTGGTTCTTAACTGGAACATTGTCGGCCCCCTACTGTATATGTTCCATGTAAAAAAAAAAAAACGTTAACAATTGCACATATTGTTTAATATACACACACACTTGCATTGTGGACACGTGAATCAGATTTTCACATGTTTTGAAATCTCAGAATCTGAATAACCCAGAGTCCCAGAGCCAGAGACATAAATAAAATACCCAAAAAATAAGTTCAACATGGAAGAACTCATTATTTACGGGCAAAAAGAAACACTGTATTATAAAAAAAGGTATTAGTCATAGTCATATCTCACAGGCGCTCCAGTGAATCCGATGAGAGGCACTTTCCCTTCGATCTTGTGTCTGGTCAGAGTGATGGCCTTGAAGACGTATCCCAGCTCTTTCTCCACATCCACTTTTGGACGTAACCGCTGTAGATCCTCCGGCTCCTTCAGGGGGTCAGGGAACGAGGGCCCTTTGCCCGGCACCATCTGCACCTCCATGCCCAGAGCCTGAAGACCACGACAGACACCAGACATTATGTAGTTTTCTACTCTGTGGGAGTCAGTGGGAGTAGATTTGACAATAGAACTAAGTTTAGATCAGATGGATGTATTTGAGTTCAGACAGTAATCAATGTGTTAGAAGAAAAAACATGCTGGAATTAGCACAAAAACTAAGTTGCATCCTTTTTCCGAAAAAAAACCCACATTGTTGGAAAAAACATTAGAAAATTGGTATTTGGATTCGGAAAAGTTACAAATAATTTAATATATGCCAAGCATTACACACATCTAGATAAGTTATAATCACTTAATTCAGGAATGTTTTCTTGAGTTGTTTGCTTTGTTTTTTCAATATACTTAAATTATTTAGTAATTTCAAGGTTTTTATACTATGTTTGTTTCATTATGTTCTTTCAGGCTGGATGTGTCAATTTGATAAGAAATAAAACAACTCTCTTGTAACTATTGGACAGTATTGAGTGAAATATTTCAGGTGATATAAAATGATACAATTTATCCTGGTCATTTTGCAACACAAAAGAGGCAAATATCTTGTTCAAGTTGAAACACTCAAACAAATGATGGAAATGTCAGCATGTAGTACGTTACAGAACAGAGGAACTAGCACTAAAAAAAGTTAAATAACCATAAATACAGTGCCTTGCGAAAGTATTCGAACCTTTCAACATTTCGCCACATTTCAGGCTTCAAACATAAAGATATAAAAATTAAATTTTTTGTCAAGAATCAACAACAAGTGGGACACAATCGTGAAGTGGAACGACATTTATTGGATAATTTAAACTTTTTTAACAAATAAAAAACTGAAAAGTGGGGCGTGCAATATTATTTGGCCCCCTTGCGCTAATACTTTGTAGCGCCACCTTTTGCTGCAATTACAGCTGCAAGTCGCTTGGGGTATGTCTCTATCAGTTTTGCACATCGAGAGACTGGAATTCTTGCCCATTCTTCCTTGCAAAACAGATCGAGCTCAGTGAGGTTGGATGGAGAGCGTTTGTGAACAGCAGTCTTCAGCTCTTTCCACAAATTCTCGATTGGATTCAGGTCTGGACTTTGACTTGGCCATTCTAACACCTGGATACGTCTATTTGTGAACCATTCCATTGTAGATTTGGCTTTATGTTTTGGATCATTGTCCTGTTGGAAGATAAATCTCCGTCCCAGTCTCAGGTCTTTTGCAGACTCCAACAGGTTTTCTTCCAGAATGGTCCTGTATTTGGCTCCATCCATCTTCCCATCAATTTTAGCCATCTTCCCTGTCCCTGCTGAAGAAAAGCAGACCCAAACCATGATGCTGCCACCACCATGTTTGACAGTGGGGATGGTGTGTTCAGGGTGATGAGCTGTGTTGCTTTTACGCCAAACATATCGTTTTGCATTGTGGCCAAAAAGTTCGATTTTGGTTTCATCTGACCAGAGCACCTTCTTCCACATGTTTGGTGTGTCTCCCAGGTGGCTTGTGGCAAACTTTAAACGAGAATTTTTATGGATATCTTTGAGAAATGGCTTTCTTCTTGCTACTCTTCCATAAAGGCCAGATTTGTGCAGTGCACGACTGATTGTTGTCCTATGGACAGACTCTCCCACCTCAGCTGTAGTTATCTGCAGTTCATCCAGAGTGATCATGGGCCTCTTGGCTGCATCTCTGATCAGTCTTCTCCTTGTTTGAGATGAAAGTTTGGAGGGACGGCCGGGTCTTGGTAGATTTGCAGTGGTCTGATACTCCTTCCATTTCAATATAATTGCTTGCACAGTGCTCCTTGAGATGTTTAAAGCTCGGGAAATCTTTTTGTATCCAAATCCGGCTTTAAACTTCTCCACAACAGTATCTCGGACCTGCCTGGTGTGTTCCTTTGTCTTCATGGTTCTCTCTGCGCTTTAAACAGAACCCTGAGACTATCAAAGAGCAGGTGCATTTATACGGAGACTTGATTACACACAGGTGCATTCTATTTATCATCATCAGTCATTTAGGACAACATTGGATCATTCAAAGATCCTCACTGAACTTCTGGACTGAGTTTGCTGCACTGAAAGTAAAGGGGCCGAATAATAGTGCACGCCCCACTTTTCACTTTATTTGTTAAAAAAGTTTAAATTATCCAATAAATTTAATTCCACTTCACGATTGTGTCCCACTTGTTGTTGATTCATTTTTTATTTTTATCTTTATGTTTGAAACCTGAAATGTGGCAAAATGTTAAAAGGTTCAAGGGGGCCGAATACTTTCGCAAGGCACTGTATTTAAAGAACACCCAAATCTTTTTTTTATTTTAGAATTTTAAAATGTACATTTTAAAAGTTTAATGTTATGGTGAGAGTACAGAGAGACCAACCTGTGGAACCACGAGAATGTCAGAAAAGATGATGGCAGCATCAAATGGAAAACGTCTCAAAGGCTGAAAGCAGGCGGACGCACTTATTAAACATGGTCATTTCACATTCTATTTGAGTCGTTTGAGATGAAGCTTTACCTGCAAAGTAAGCTCACAGCAGGATTCTGGTGAGCGACATGTATCAAAGAAATCTTTTCCAGCTCTGGACTCTCGGAACTCTGATGTTCCAAATAAAACATGTTTAATGAGAATGATAAATAATATATAGACTGAGGTTGTACCTGGGAGGTAGCGTCCTGCCTGCCTCATGCACCACACCGGCACATGCTCCGTCTCTTCTCCACGAGCTGCTCTCAGGAACGTGTCATTTTGGAGATTGGGGAAATCTTTGGGGCTGAGAGCAGACATAACATTTAGATCATTTCCAAATACAATTGTTTGTAAAAATGTTAATTTAACACATAAAAACAAACATCTCTACACACAAAATTGTAGATATAAAACTGCCCATTTAATTTTAATAGCAAAATTAGGAAAACAATAAAACAAACCAATGATTCAGACTTTCAGATTTAATAGAGGAAGGAATTATCTAAAGAACAAAGCGCATAGATTGAATCGTATGTTACAGCTGAATACAAATTAATGCAGCAAACTTAAGCCACCTCTCTAATATTCTATATTTCTCAGATAACACATGAAATCAATACTTTAACATATTTCCAGAATCATCTACTGAGAGTCTTCACTCATAGCAAAGAGGTGGACACTGCTGATGACAAACTAGTGAGCACAGAGCTGAGGAGCAGGAGATAAGCTCGGACTGCGCTCTTATCAATATCCAGCACAATAACGGTTATTATTACAACACTGAAGCTGTTCCATGGAATATATTACATATATTTCTATATAGTAGGAAAGTAAGTAAGTAATCTTTATTCATATACTGCCTTTCACAGACCAGAGTCACAAAGTGGTTTACAATTGTTCAACTCAATGGCATGAGTTGATCTAATTAACAATAATACTATTCATGTTATGTTATCATCAATTTATTATTTTATTAAACGATCCATGGTGTGTCGTTTGTATGTTTATGGGAACCAGCAAGCTGATCTGAGTTACAGGTCAGATCTGCTAACAAGCAATATAAAGGTTATTCAAAGTAATTTGTAACAATCAGACATAAAAAAAGTAAAAAATAATAATAAACGAATAGAAAAGTTCCCTGCAGAGCTATCGTATAAAGCATGTGTAGGAGCAGCTGCTTTGAGACGAGCAGAGCTATTGTGATATTATTGACACATTTCTCTAAATGCATCAAACAAAATGTTCACAATCCTCTAACCCAAAACAGGAACAATCACAAGAGATATACAGATCCCGGAGAGTTTTGATTAAACACAAAAAGCCTGAATAGTTTGAATCAATGGCTTCATAAACAATAAACATGAAAGTCACAAACCAGTCAGATTCACCAGACACACGTGTAAATAATGGGACACGGAGACAAAAACACTCACAGGATAAACTCGTCTTTGCTCATGTCTGCGGTTCACGGGAGGATGAGGAGTTCGTGGGACGCGTGTGTTTGTGGATGTCACTAAAACCTGCAACTGTCATCTCCTCTCCTTTCACAACAGTCGTCAGGGCGCGGCCATGTTGGGAAGACACGTGACGCGGAAGTGCCACGCAAGTACTGCCCTTTTTTCTTTTCTTTTGTCTATTTGGGCTTTGTTTTCAATAGATTCAGGTACTGAATGTATATTTGCTTTATTTCACTATATTTTATTTGGATTAATCATTTTGCAATTTAATGTAACACCTACGTGTGTTGCCCTTTATATGACCTCCAGGGGGCGCTTGTATAATGTCTTTCCCATAGACTGTGTGTCTTTCCTGATCGATGGACCCGCCAGGCCAAATGCAAATGTATTTAAAATGTAAAAGTATTTAAAAACATACATAATTTTAAATAACTATCCAAACTATCAGTGCATTCATTGATACTGCATAGTGTGTAATCTTCAACTAATCCTCAACATTTAGTTTAAAGCAAGGAAGGTGAGTGCTGCAGAGGGTACGAGTAGTAGAAGGCATACATAACAGGTGCTCTTCAAAGACGGGGCAATCTAAGCAGGTTTAGAATGTCAAAAAGAAAAAAGGAAGTCTGAGGCACTCTGTTATAGTGAAAAAATAAAAGTCCTTTATTAAAATGGACTGTTGAATCCTCAACATTGTTTTATTTTTATTTTTCTAACTCACATTTAGTGGATGATATCCATTTAAGATATCGGGCAGGACTGTAGCCTTTTATTTTTTATTTTTATGTTGATAAGCACAGCCCACACACACTTTCACTACCCTCTGGCGAGTGGTGAAATTAGACAAAACATAGCAATGAACAACATAAAAACGAATTTTAGCAAATTATGACTATTATTATTATGATTATTTTATACATATCAGGAGGTCCAGCCTGAAAGATTTGGGAAGCAACTGCATTAGGTACACTATTCACACACAATCGTGATATCCATGAATATGAAACAATATGTACAAAAACACCAATAAAACAGCCATAATTAAAAATGTGTGACTAGCTCTGATCCTGGTATTGTGCCTCTGTGGCTGTATAAAAGTCATCCAAGACGCTTTGTAAAAAGTCAAACGTGGGCCTGTCCTGTGGTTTGTCTTTCCAGCAGGACAGCATGACGTCGTACAGTTCAGAAGGGCAGTTTTCAGGCTGAGGCATTCGGTATCCACGCTGTATACTTGACATCACCTCCATTTTGGTCATTCCTAAAGAATCAAAATAGTGAAATTGAAATATGTATTTTGTTGCACATTTATCTCATTAAATCATTCTCTCTACGACACATAGTTTACCTGGATAAGGCATTTTTCCATAAGTGATGATTTCATAGAGCAGAACCCCGAAAGACCACATGTCGGACTTAATGGTGAATGAACCGTACTGTATAGCCTCTGGCGCTGTCCACTTAATGGGGAATTTAGCCCCTGAAAAATACAGTATGCATCATGATACACATCCAGCCCTGGAGTTCATTATAGCCTGCATAAATATTTGTTTACCATTTTAGAAAGTTTACAATTAGCTTTCCTGAAGGTCTCGTTCTTGTCTCTACTATGGTTGTTGCACTTTTACTTGAGTTTTGATGGGAACTATCTTTTTTATTTCTTTTTCATTACATATGCAACTCTCAATCCAACCCAATTAATTTTTGTATAGCCCTATATAATAAAAGCAGTTGTCTCGGAGGACAAAGTAGATTTGTCAACAACAGATCAGAGAATCAAACAATTCGTGCATTTGAATTGTTTAAAAAGGGTAGTGGGTAAAACATTTTCCTACTAAATATGAACATGGATAAAAAGTAATACATCTCGCTCTGGTCTACTTCCCCTTGTGTTTCATGGTAATTCAAAATACTGTCTTGGTTTCACTGTTTGCAAATAGGAACTAGTGTGGCTGCAGTGTGGTTGTGTGGCTCGTGGTTTTATTCAAAGAAGAACCATGTATGTTCGATGGTTAAAGCAGTGGAACAATCACGAAGTCAAGAATAACAAAAGCAAACTCAAACAAAAAGCAGTTTTAGTATCTTTCGCAGAATAAGGAAGGAAATCAGCTAGAACACTGACCAGGCGTTATTCCAAATATTACCTTCTCTGGGTGAGTATTCGTCATCTTCTATCACACGTGCCAATCCAAAATCTGCTATTTTACACAGTAGACATTCTGATACCAAGACGTTGGCCGCTCGCAGGTCCCTGTGGATGTAGTGTTTCTTTTCTATGTAAGCCATGCCCTCAGCTATCTGAAAATGTTAGTAACACAGTGGAGATTAAAAAGACGATAATATATACATATGTTGGACAAATGTATCAACTTGAACTAATTTTCAGCTTACAATGTGAAACCAATTTAACCTAATGTTAAACCTAGTGTTTGGACACACTTTCTCATTCACTGAGTCTCCTTTCTTTTCATGACTATTGACTGTAGATTCACACCCAGGCTGTGTAAGGGCTTTTTTACCAATAAGGAGAGTGATGGGTGCTGGCCTCCACACTCACCAGACCTGAACCCAGTCCAGATGGACCACAGAGTGAAGGCGAAAGGGCCAACAAGTGCTAAGCATCTCTGGGAACTCCTTCAAGACTGTTGGAAGACCATTTCAGGTCACTACCTCCTGAAGCTCATTAAGAGAATGCCAAGAGTGTGCGAAGCAGTAATCAGAGCAAAAGGCACTACTAACCCAGAATAAACAACATATTTTCAGTTGTTTCATACTTTGTTTTTAGGTACGTACATAATTCCAGATGAAGATAAAAAACTTTTGGTCTGTACTGTATATATTACTCTTTTGCAAGCTATAAGCCACACTGATCAACATTAAAACAAATAAAAGCTTGATGAATCTTGCCTTGCGTGTAATCATATTAACTGAATTACAGAACCAAGTGGACTTTTGAACGATAATCATTTTTGACTGTATAGTTTATTAGTTTCAGATGTTGTTTCTCATATCTGGAACTCACTACTGTGCCAAACGAAAATTCAAGGAATTAATGTGTAAACAATACCTGTGCTGAGAAGTCTATTAGTTTGGGTAGCTGAATCTTGCATCCCGTACCTGTCTTTAAAAAGTCGAGTAAGCTGCCTGTAACACAACGACTGTGGTCAAAAAACTCACGTAAATGAACCAAAACAATCGATTTTTCTTACCATTTAACATATACTCTGTGACTATATAGATAGGTTGTGTTTTGGTGACCACGGCATAGAGTCGCACCAGGTGGTCATGTTGTAAAGTCTTCATAACATTAGCCTCATCCAGAAAGGCCTGGACTGTCATGGTGCCTGGCTTGAGTGTCTTCACTGCTACTTTAGTTGTATTGTTGTAGAAAGCTGAAAAGTGGAAAAATCAATCAGTTACATAATTTATTCTAGATGAATCTTTCAGAACAAGTAATTCAACACAGCACAGGGTGGTTTTAATCGTCCATGTGCCCTCCATATGCTCTAAAGATAATGGCTTGGACTGAAACAACATAATAAGCAGACACTAATGTAGACTTATTGCCCTGCTAAACAGCAGTTCCATGTACAGTATCTCACTCACCCATCCATACTTCTCCAAACTGTCCTGCTCCAAGCTTCTTCACCATCTTTAAGGACTCTTTAGGGATTTCCCAGGCATCCTTTTCCCATGGTTTTTGAGCTTTAGGTTTGGTGCATGGACGGCCCAGTTTACGACACAGTCCATCAGCATTGTCTAAAACAAAACACCGACAAATGGAACTAAAGCAAAGGTTCAGACTGTTCAGGTATCTCCTGTGGTCACTATTCCATCTGTAGCACTTGAATCTTCCAACTACAACACTCATTTTCAGAGCTATTCAGCGATCAACCTTCCTTGGTTGCATTTAAACAGTTCTCATAGCACTAAGCTTGAGCTTGTGCAGCAACCTGCCTCTTCCCTCCAAGGCCTCAACAGTGGGAAGATGCTCTTCACATCATTGGCTCATTGTTTACCAGCTTTCACCATGACCAAGGTGTAGAACCCAGGGGGTTTCACTTTGATAATCTCTACTCAATTTCCACCTGTATTTGTCAAGCAATATTTCTGCCACGGTCAAAAAATGTGACCACAATTTTTTGAACATGATTTGCCAACGCATCCATTTTCGCTCCATCCATTGCCAGATTGAGTGAGCAGCAATTTAAGCAGAGATGCTCAGACTTTCCTATCCATGCACACTTGCTCCAGCTTATTTCAAGGGAATTCCGAACAGAGATTCAGATCAGAGTGTCATTCTTTTGATGCACAGCATGGCCCTAACTACACTTCTACAGTTGAAGGAAGATCAAGTAATTTCAAAGTTCACTAAACAACAATATTTCTGATGGAAAGCTGGAGGAAAGTAAAACTGCATTCTTTGTATGAATTTATAGAAAACCTTTGTATGATGTTTAATTACAAGACTCACGTTGATAGTGTTTAATCATTTTGTTGATATCCTGGAAGGAGCTCTTTGGAGAAATGTAGAAACCACCCTCGTCCAATTTCCTGATCTTGTAATGTTTAACAACATCCAAGCCCTTTGGACCAACATCGCGGACGGATAACGAGAAACCTGCAAATAAGAGTAAATAAAAAGTCATGAATTTAAAGTTTAGTTTCAATGAATTTCTAGGTTTGAGTAATCTAAAACATAATAAAAAATAAAACGCTCAATCATTCAATCACTTTTCGACTTACTATGACATAATCCTTACTGTTAGTGTTGTCTACAAATGTACCTTGAAACATTAGTGTGCCTTTGAAAATGACCCCAAGTGTGAGAAAATAATAAAGTAGAAAGACTTTGTTGTGCTTGTTTGATTTTCAATATAAAACACTTTGATGAATAACTGGCTTTGTTAATAAAGGCTGCAGAGTTAAATGTTTTATCAGTTTTAGCAACTGCTGTAAACTGTACCGTTTGTGGTCTCACTCTCCCTGATGAGAAAGGCTCCTGGTTTGTTAGCTGGAGCCAGGAGTTGTCTCTCAGCATCTTTTCTACAAATATCTTTGAAAAACCACCTGAATAAAAACAACATACATAAATAATTGTTGACTAACTATATTATTATGTAATTTTTCTAATAATTTATTTCTCAATGTCTAGAATTAACATCATGATATTATAACAAATATACATTCACACATCTAATTTCGATCTTACTCCTCTGTTTCCATGGAGTCCAGTTGAGCCACGTAGTTCGAGGGAACATATCCTTCTCTTTTGGTTTGTAACGATCTTGCTTTCCACCACTCACCATGTCTAGAAGAAAAGTACAGAATAAAGAAAACCTGTTCCTTATCTTGAATATTAAAAAAACAACTTTAGAATGTCCCACAATACTTCAAATCTGCAAAACTTTGTCTTTATCCTGACACGTTAGCCAATTATAGACCCACTTCAAACCTTCTCAATCTAAGTCTATTTGAAAAAGTCACAATCTACAGGACAATAATCTAAAACAAATCAGTCTGATTAAAGTTACATGCACATTTTTTAATTTTTAATTTAACCTAAAGTCCCATTGAGATTAAGAACTTCTTTTTCGGGAGTCCTGGAGAAAATGACAAACGGACGCCATCAACTAAACTTAGCTTGATCCTAATTGTGTCATAATCTCCATCCATCCATCCATCCATTTTCTTCCGCTTTATCCGTTGCCGGGTCGCGGGGGCAGCAGTCTAAGCAGAGACGCCCAGACTTCCCTATCCACACACACTTCCTCCAGCTCGTCTGGGGGGACCCCAAGGCGTTCCCAGGCCAGCTGAGAGACATAGTCCCTCCAGCGTGTCCTGGGTCTTCCGCGGGGCCTCCTCCCGGTGGGGCGTGCCCGGAACACCTCCCCAGGGAGGCGTCCAGGAGGCATCCGGAACAGATGCCCGAGCCACCTCAACTGGTTCCTCTCGACGTGGAGAAGCAGCGGTTCTACTCCGAGCTCCTCCCGTGTGACTGAGCTCCTCACCCTATCTCTAAGGGAGCGCCCAGCCACTCTGCGGAGGAAGCTCATTTCGACCGCTTGTATCCGCGATCTCGTTCTTTCGGTCATTACCCAAAGCTCATGACCATAGGTGAGGGAGGGAACGAAGATTGACCGGTAAATCGAGAGCTTTGCCTTTCGGCTCAGCTCCCTCTTCACCACAACGGTCCGATACAGCGACCGCATAACTGCGCACGCTGCACCGATCCGCCTGTCAATCTCACGCTCCATTCTTCCCTCACTCGTGAACAAGACCCCGAGATACTTGAACTCCTCCACTTGAGGAAGGACCTCTCCACCCACCTGCAGAGGGCAAGGCACCTTTTTCCGGTCGAGCACCATGGCCTCGGATTTGGAGGTGCTGATTCTCATCCCAGCCGCTTCACACTTGGCTGCAAACCGTCCCAGTGCATGCTGCAGGTCCTGGTTCGTTGGAGCCAACAGGACAACATCGTCCGCAAACAGCAGAGATAAAATCCTGTGGTCTCCGAACCGGACCCCCTCCGACCCCTGGCTGCGCCTAGATATTCTGTCCATAAATACAGTGAACAGAACCGGTGACAAAGGGCAGCCCTGTCGAAGGCCAACATTCACCGGGAACAGGTCTGACTTACTGCCGGCAATGCGAACACAGCTCTGGCTCTGGTCATACAGGGATCGGATGGCCCTCAGCAGAGGACCTCCGACCCCGTACTCCCGGAGAACCCCCCAAAGGACACCCCGGGGAACACAGTCGAACGCCTTCTCCAAATCCACAAAGCACATGTGGACAGGTTGGGCGAACTCCCATGAACCCTCGAGTATCCGATGGAGAGTATAGAGCTGGTCCAGTGTTCCGCGACCGGGACGAAAACCACACTGCTCCTCCTGGATCCGAGATTCGACCATCGGCCGTAACCTCCTCTCCAGTACCTTGGAGTAGACCTTACCGGGGAGGCTGAGGAGTGTGATCCCACAATAATTGGAACACACCCTCCGGTCCCCCTTCTTGTAGAGAGGGACCACCACCCCGGTCTGCCACTCCATTGGCACTGCCCCCGATCGCCACGCAATGTTGCAGAGACGTGTCAGCCAAGACAGTCCTACAACATCCAGAGACTTTAGATAATCAGGGCGGATCTCATCCACACCCGGAGCCTTGCCACCATGGAGGCTACCAACCACCTTGGTGACCTCAGCCAGGGAGATGGATGTACCCGCCCCAACATCCTCAGCCTCTGCCTCTGTAACAGAGGACGTGACGGGGGGATTGAGGAGAACCTCAAAGTATTCCATCCCCCGGCCGACAATATCCCCAGTCGAGGTCAGCAGCTCTCCACCCGCACCGTACATGGTGTTGGCAAAGAACTGCTTCCCCCTCCTGAGGCGCCGGATGGTTTGCCAGAATCTCTTCGAGGCCGACCGATAGTCATGCTCCATGGACTCTCCGAACTCCTCCCAGTCCCGGGTTTTTGCCTCTGCAACAGCCCGGGCCGCGGCACGCTTGGCCTGCCGGTACTGGACAGCTGCCTCAGGAGTCCCCCGAACCATCATGGCTCGATAGGACTCCTTCTTCAGCCTGACAGCATCCCTTACTGCCGGTGTCCACCACCGGGTTCGGGGGTTGCCGCCGGGACCAGCACCAGAGACCTTGCGACCACAGCTACGAGCCGCCGCATCGGCGATTGAGGCAGAGAACATGGTCCACTCGGACTCCATGTCCCCCTCCTCCGCCGGGACCTGGGAGAAGCTCTCCCGGAGGTGTGAGTTGAAAGTCCGTCTGACAGGGGGCTCAGCGAGACGTTCCCAGCAGACCCTCACTATACGCTTGGGTCTGCCAGGTCTGACCGGCTTCTTCCCCTGCCAGCGGATCCAACTCACGACCAGGTGATGATCGGTTGACAGCTCCGCCCCTCTCTTTACCCGAGTGTCCGAGACACGCGGTCGAAGGTCAGATGATACGACAACAAAGTCGATCATCGACCTCCGGCCTAGGGTGTCCTGGTGCCACGTGCACTGGTGGACACCCTTGTGCTCGAACATGGTGTTCGTGATGGACAAACCGTGACTGGCACAGAAGTCCAACAACTGAGCACCGCTCGGGTTCAGATCAGGGGGGCCGCTCTTCCCGATCACCCGTCTCCAAGTGTCACTGGCGTTTCCCACATGGGCGTTGAAGTCCCCCAGGAGAATAACGGAGTCCCCGGGCGGTGCACCGTCCAGTACCCCTCCCAAGGACTCCAAGAAGGCCGGGTACTCTACACTGCTGTTAGGCCCGTAGGCCGTCACAACAATGACAGACTTGTACCCCACCCGGAGGCGGAGGGACGCGACCCTCTCATTCACCGGGGAGAACTCCAACACGTGGCGGCTGAGATGGGGGGCAATGAGAATGGCCACCCCAGCTCGCCGCCTCTCCCCGCGGGAAACTCCAGAAAAGTGGAGCGTCCAACCCCTCTCAAGGAGTTGGGTTCCAGAGCCCAAGCTGTGTGTGGAGGTGAGGCCGACTATCTCTAGTCGGTATCGCTCAACCTCCCCCACGAGCTCGGGCTCCTTCCCCCCCAGTGAGGTGACGTTCCACGTCCCAAGAGCCAGATGTTGTGTGTGCGGACTGGGTCGCCGAGGTCTCCGCCTTCGACTGCTGCCCAGTCCTCTCTGCACCGCTTCACCACGGACCCCTCTGCAGGTGGTGGGCCCACAGGAGGGACTGCCCACGTCATCCCTTCGGGCTGAGCCCGGCCGGGCCCCGTGGGCTAAGGCCCGGCCACCAGGCACTCGCATACGGGCCCCGACCCCAGGCCTGGCTCCAGGGTGGGGCCCCGGCTGCGCCATGCCGGGCGACGTCACTGTTTTCGTGTTAGTGCTGTCCATGGTGTCTTCTGGACTGCTCTTTGTCTGACTCGTCACCTGAGACCTGTCTGCCATGGGAGGCCCTACCAGGGGCATGAAGCCCCAGACAGCATAGCTCCCAGGATCATCCGAGTACTCAAACTCCCCCACCACGTTAAGGTGGCAGTCCAGGGGGGACTGCCACCTTAATCTGTTGATGAAAAATCTGTTGATGAAAAATCTGTTGATGAAAAATCTATATTTTTGTGAAAAACTTTGAGGCGACTGTGCGCTACAATAAATAGATTTTTATAAAAAGTATGAGTAATTAAAAGCGACAACAGACACACTCACTCCTCCAGGATGATCATAGTTTCTCCTTTCTTGAACTGTAAGTCATCAGGATGGCTTCCATCATAGGGGTAAAGTCCAACCACAACTTTACCATTCTGCTCTGAGAGAAAATACAAAGAAATGTACATTTTAATGTCTATAAGCACAATAAAGTGGTCTCTAATTTACTTAAGAGCAGTACAATCTAAGTTGTTCCTCAAAAGATTTAGGAATTCCACAAGAAAACGTTTATATGATTTCTTATATGCCGATTAGAACTGCACACTTGAATAATGAATAATAATGTGGCCTAATACTTTGGTGGGAATTTAGTTTGTCTTCGAATTAGTCACATAATTGTTGCGTTTTGTAAAAGTAGCTATTTTGGGAGAATATTGAAGAAATGCAGCGTAAGCAAATTGTAGCTTCAGCGAGTGATCTCTAAAGGTCAATTATTATCAAAGGATCATGTTTGTGGGATACACCGGGAAGAATTGAAATAGTTTACCTTCCATTCTTTTAAAGATTTCACCAGGCAACAGTGAGGGGTCCTGTGAAGTCAATTTCAATGTTACTTTTGAGTGAACCCTTTGGACTAATTATACATTAAAAAAAAACAAAAAAACATCCCCATTTAAATAAACTATGATGGTATAAGTCAGCACAGATGTAATGCAGTCTGCTTGGTTATTTACTAATATATCTATGTATTTTCTTTTCACTTTACATTATTATTGTTATTTTTTTTGTTTAATGTATTTATCTCTTGTTAACCAAAGAAAGCAAACAGGTAACACAACAAATTAAAAAGGCTTTATTGATCCCACCCAACCCAACCAAACTACATTACATACATTTCCTCCCTCACGCATATGTTTTAAAAGCATAAAACATTTTCAAAAAAAAAGTGCTACTAAACAGCAACACAATCACAAAATAAAAATCCACAGTAATGAAACTTGGAACAGAAACCATAAAATAAAATGCAAAAAGAGTGGCAACCCATAATTAATACTTACTATGTGTTTGTGTGTATTTCTGAAGGTAGGGTCTTTGACATAGTGCAGGGGGTCAGTACGTACAGAGTTCTGCAGGGTCGACTTGTCCACCCCCAACTCATCGCACACCTTAGACTCCAGACAGCCCATCTGCACAAAAGGAACCGAAAACATGAAGCATGAAATTATATTCAAACCGCCAAAAACATACTGAAAAAACATCACCTGCTTCTCCTTGTTCAGACCTTATTTTGACTTTTTTCCCCCAAGTGCCTGAAATTGTTTTTAAATCGTCAAAAATGTCTCAACTAAATAGATGACTGAAACTGAAACCTGTATAGTTCTACCATTTGTCTGTAATAAAGAATATTCAACCCATGGTAACGTTTTCTCAAAGACTCAAAGTACTTCAACATTCTGAAAAAAAAAAAAATCTTTCTATGTAAGTTCAAAAAATACTTCTTCTTTACATCATTCCATTGGGGAAACTCTACTCGTGCTTTTAGGAACAGGCTTTACTAATGGTTAAGTTAGTAGTAGTTAATGTGGATTAGTTACATGCAATATTTTAGGTACCAGTTGCACATTTTTAAAAAGCAAAAGTGGTGAGATTAAATAATACTTTTGCTCCTATAGTGTTTGTTAATACTGAACAGCTCTGTCCAAACAGGCTGTAAAACAGCTGCAGTACATTCAAAATGCAGCAGCTCGAGTCCTGACTAGAACCAGGAAGTACGACCATATTAGTCCAGTCCTCAGGTCTCTGCACTGGCTTCATGTGGCTCAGAGAATAGACTTTAAAACAGCTCTGCTTGTGTACAAGTCTCTCCATGGCCTCGCACCAAAATATATTAGTGACATGTTAGTCCCATATGAACCAGCCCGGACTCTGAGGAGCACAGGGACTGGACTCCTGTTAGTGCCCAGAGTCAGAACTAAACATGGGGAGGCTGCTTTTCAGATTCATGCTGCTAAAATCTGGAACAATCTTCCTGAAAGTGTGAGACAGGCCTCTGTGTGAGACAAAGTTTAAAACCAGGTTAAAAACAGTTCTGTTTAGCTGTGCATACAACTGAGGGATTTTATATTTGTATCTTTCTTTTTAATGTTCTGTCATTATTTATGATTTTAATGCTTTCTCACATCTTGGATTCAGGAAGAGCAGTGTGGTTTTCGTCCCGGTCGCGGAACACTGGACCAGCTCATTGGATTCTCGAGGGTTCATGGGAGTTCGCCCAACCTGTCCACATGTGCTTTGTGGATTTGGAGAAGGCGTTCGACCGTGTTCCCCGGGGTGTACTTTGGGGGGTTCTCCGGGAGTACGGGGTCGGAGGTCCTCTGCTGAGGGCCGTCCGATCCCTGTATGACCGGAGCCAGAGCTGTGTTCGCATTGCCGGCAGTAAGTCAGACCTGTTCCCGGTGAATGTTGGCCTCCGACAGGGCTGCCCTTTGTCACCGGTTCTGTTCACTGTGTTCATGGACAGAATTTCTAGGCGCAGCCAGGGGTCGGAGGGGGTCCGGTTCGGAGACCACAGGATTCCATCTCTGCGGTCTGAGGTCCTTCCTCAAGTGGAGGAGTTCAAGTATCTCGGGGTCTTGTTCACTGTATCGGACCGTTGTGGTAAAGAGGGAGCTGAGCCGAAAGGCAAAGCTCTCGATTTATCGGTCAATCTTCGTTCCCTCCCTCACCTATGGTCATGAGCTTTAGGTAATGTCCTACCTGGAGGAGGCCCCGGGGAAGACCCAGGACACGCTGGAGGGACTATGTCTCTCAGCTGGCCTGGGAACGCCTTGGAGTCCCCCCGGACGAGCTGGAGGAAGTGTGTGTGGATAGGGAAGTCTGGGCGTCTCTGCTTAGACTGCTGCCCCCGCGACCCGGCAACGGATGAAGCGGAAGAAAATGGATGGATGCTTTCTCATTTTGTTCAGCACTTTGAATTGCCTTGTGTATGAATTGTGCTATACAAATAAATTTGCCTTGCCTTGCCTATTCACTTTTTAGAGCAACAATTTTGGAAAATACATTAGATTTTACAACAAAAATCACAATTTCATATTTTTTGCCACTAGGCTTGTTTTCATTGGTAGTCTCTGGGCGAGGTGTAAAGCTGTCATTAAAGACATAATACATTAGTAAACCTAAAATATAGTAAACATTAGTACATTGAGCACATAAAGGATGAGATGACAACAAATATAGAACACATGACGTACAAACAGTACTGCACAGAGACGTAAGCGTGGAATAGCACATGCAAATTAATAACATTTCAAATTAGTGATTGGGTTTCATACAAACAATATTAAGTTGTTTGTATGAAACTGTTCCTGCAGTTTAACTTGGGGTTTAAGATAACTGAACCAATGCTAAACAGGATTGTAATGCAATTTGCTGAGATATGTTAGTACTTTTGGCCTAACAACAGACTTAGAGCTAAAGAGCTGTATATTTATTATATTAACAAACACTGACCAGAAACACCACCCCTGCTTTGGGCTGATCAGTAACACCAAGGAATGCAAATCATCTTTATAAACTGTTAAATTGTAGCCGACTAATCTCTGAGGAGTGGAAGCAGAACAAACATTGTGTAACTTATTTGAGGTGGTATGTCTCTTGGTAAATTCCATGTATATGTAATGTTAAGTTACAATAATATTTGGGAACATTTTACATAAAGAAAATATGTCATTATTATCCATCAAAGTGTAAAAGATTATACTATAAAGAACAGACTTACCTCCAGTCATGTAACCAACAATATATTCCAGTGTGATGTTGGTCAGAATGCTCTGCTGACAGACGTGGTTTTAACAGGTTGCCTGAAACAGACTCTAACTGAGAATGAGGAACTCAAACTAAAGGGGATTTCGCTATTTTACCCAAACTTCCTGGTACAATATGTCTAATGGCTATTTACACAGTGCACTGAACGGTGTCCCCAGTGGTCATAGTGTGCTCATACTCCAAAGAATGGGAAATAAAACAGAGTTGTTCATTTTAAACTTTAGTTTGAAACAAAAGTTAGAGTTTGAATTACATAAGCCCCGCCATGCACTATGAGCAACTCAACTTCATTTTAAAAACAGTAATTTTATAATAGAAATACTGTATACATGTTTAATAACCACGTTTTTTTACCAAGTAACTGTACAATATTAGAGCCAAAGATTGAACAAAATCGCTTTTTGTTAAACTCAGAGACGCTTCACATGATAGTAGTCACTCATGTTCCTACTGTAGCCACAGCTGCCCAGGGGCAGACTGACAGAAGTGATGTAACCAGTATGTGCCATTGACTTGTCCGACCACCACCTATCATTCATGCGCACACCACACTCACACTAGGCAGTATGGGCAAAGTTTGGCACTTTACAGCTGCAGCCGCCCCACTGTGGCCCCTGGTGTTCCAAGAGCCCTGATCAAAACACAGACAATACCGGCACTAGAGTTTCAAGTATGATCATTTATTAGTTTCCCATTAGTTGAAGTAAAAAAAATCAAAATGTTACAGAGGAAGTCAGACGAGTGGTGTCCACACGAGAACATGAGCAGTATCATGCACCTGCAGAATGAATACATTGTTTACACAGTGTTTTGTGGCATAACTAGTCATAGTGGCAGATAAGGCCTGATTATTATAAAAGATTACATTTTTACGTCTATAAAAATTATTTGCATGCAATGCATTAATGATAATCACACACACACTATACTACTGCACAATGTTAGTGATATCACTAGTCACACAGGAAGTTCAGATTGTGTTATGCTTGGTAAAAGGACATTACACTATTCTTGATTTTTGGCCTATATTCACCTTTAATATACAACAGCTGCCGATAATCCCAGCTCTTCATTTCCCTGTCCATCTTCTTTTTACAGCATTGAGAAAGGAAGCACGAGTTATTGGCTGTGTAATTGTTACAAACGTGTTACTCTTATTATCAGCACGTTTTTTGAATGAATATCATATAAACTATTAACATTATTTATTGAAGGTGCAAAAAGACATTTTAGATTAGGTCAGTAAGGGAAGGACAACATTATGTACCGTGTGTGGGGCAAAAGTGACATATTCAACTTTTTTTGGTAACATGAGGAACAAGAAACGGATCTTATTCTTGTTGAAGATGTTTTCCAAGAATCATAGTGTTGGAGTGGTGAATGTCACAAACCTGTTTAACACTTTTGCACAGTACTAGAAGGGACAACTAATAAGAGCACACGTGTTATCACAGCAATGCTTTTTTTCCGTGGCCAGAGAGTCTATAGGTTCTCCCAGTGTCACATACAGCTCCTCTCCTCCAGCAGTGGGTCCACATGTTGTGAATGGCTTTACGGGTTGAACCTCAGAGTGCTGGCAGTAACAGTATGTGTCAGGTTAGCTGTTCCTCTGCCCGGCCTCCCTCTGGGCTGACGGCATGCCCTGGCCATCCTCCGCTTCATCACCTTCTATGGAGAAACGATTGAAGAATTACTACTTTCTTGAAATACTGTCAGACGCACCAGGAAGAAACAAGTGTTCATGCAATAGCAGTCACCTCCCCCTCCAGCGTTGATGTGCAGTTGGGACAGAGACAGTGTGAGGGACATCTCGCGCCCATCTGGATCTGTGGGACTCTGCAGAATGTCGTGCATGGCGTTCCTTCGTCCTGTTCTGCCCGAAGCAATGAAGTCTGCATATGTGGCCTCAACATCAGACATTGCTTGTACATTGTTCAAGCAGCTACACCTAAAAAAGTCAAGTTTTATTTGTGATTAATATTGAGAGGTGAAAATAGGTGATCATCACAGATGAGTAACTCTATATAAATGTAAATCTAAAAGTGCACTTCATTTATCTACGTAGGGACTTTGTCCTCTGCATTTGACCTATCCTGCAAATGCCACTAGGGCGTGTGTCAGTAGCAGTGGTCGCCATATTACAGCGCCCGGGAACCCATCTGCTCAGCTTGGTCAGGACTACCAGAGCTGGAGGATTTATTCAGCATGTTTTTAGTGGTAGGGGAAACCGGAGCACCCTGAGGAAACCAGAGCAGACACAGGGAGAACATACAAACTCCACTTAAAGGAATTCCTGGGATTCAAACCCAGGACATTCTTATTGAAAAGCGAGAGTTCTATCCACTCCGCCACCATGCCACTA